AACAAAGGTGTGTATGAGAGCGTGAAGTATATCCAGCAGGAGAACTTCTGGATTGGCCCCAGCTCGGTGAGGACCCCAGAGGGATGGGCAGCTTCTCAGCAGGGAACCCTGGGGCCCTGTCGCCCGCCCAGGAGCCCCTCTCACCGGGGGACTCCAGGGGAAACTAAAGCGAGTGGCCAGCTCTGAGCCCAGGCTCACTCTTTGCCCTCCCCCAGATTGATTTGATCCACCTGGGAGCCAAGTTCTCCCCCTGCATCCGGAAGGACCAGCAGATCGAACAGCTGGTGCTTCGGGAGCGAGACCTAGAGCGGGACTCGGGCTGCTGTGTTCAGAACGACCACTCGGGCTGCATTCAGACCCAGCGGAAGGACTGCTCGGTGGGGCCAGGCCCTCCAGCCCCTGCCAGCCCCACTCTGGCCCTGTACACCACCTTCCCTTGCCCCTGGCATAGCGGAGGGGCCCTCAAGGACAGTGACCACATCCCCTCTCTCCTTCTGGGCCCCATACACCCCCGTACTTGGCCCAGCACAGGGAGAGTGCTGACCTCCCCAGCCCCGCAGAAGTGAAGGAAGTAATGTTCCCAGGTCTTAGGAACGTCAGCGGAGGGTGGAGGTCTGGGAGATAGGCCTGAGCCTTGGGGACCAGGGGAAGAGCCCCTGTCCAGAGGGTCCCTTGCTCATTAATGGATATGGTGTGATCCTAGACATAACCAACCTTCCTTCATCTTCCAGGAGACTTTAGCCACTTTTGTCAAGTGGCAGGATGATACGGGGCCTCCCATGGATAAGTCTGATCTGGGCCAGAAGCGGACATCAGGGGCAGTGTGCCACCAAGACCCCAGGTACCGTCCCAGGATGGCCCAGCTGGGCTGTGAGAAGACAGGGTTGAGTGTCCTATATGCCTCCTCCGGGGATGTTAGCGGGTAGGTGTGACAGGCTGGGGGGACGCCCACAGCTCCTCATTTTGCCCCCTCTGACCTCTGCCTCCAGAACCTGCGAGGAACCAGCCTCGAGCGGCGCCCACATCTGGCCCGATGACATCACCAAGTGGCCAGTGAGTGTCTGGGGTAGAGAATGGTCTAGGAAGGGCGGGAGGTGGGGTGCCTGCCGCCACAGGGGCCCAACCCAGTGTGGGTGTCCCCCCTTGCCCCCTGCAGATCTGCACCGAGCAGGCCAGGAGTAACCGCACCGGCTTCCTACACATGGATTGCCAGATCAAGGGCCGCCCCTGCTGCATTGGCACCAAGGGCAGGTCAGCCAGCCCCGTGCCCCTCGGTCGCCCCCCGCCCCCTGGGCTAGTATCCTCCCTCCCCAACTCAGGGGTCGTCCATGGTGTGAGCAGGATGAAGGGGAGCCTGGCCCAGAGCTAGGGTCCCCGCAGAGGGGCACCTCTTCCTGCCAGTGGGCAGGGGCCCTTGGGGCTATGACGGATCCCCTTGCCTCCCTGGCCCGCAGCTGTGAGATCACCACCCGGGAGTACTGTGAGTTCATGCATGGCTATTTCCACGAAGAGGCAACACTCTGCTCCCAGGTAAGGTGGGGCCTGCTGGGGCCCCAGGCGTGAGGAGGTGAGCACGGCGGCCATGTGTCCCCCCCCACTGCCTGCAGATTTGTGCCCCCCACCCCCACATCGGGGCCAGCTAGGCCACAGGCACTGACTGCCCCGTGCTTTGCTTGCCCTCAGGTGCACTGCTTGGACAAGGTGTGCGGGCTGCTGCCCTTCCTCAACCCCGAGGTCCCCGATCAGTTCTACAGGCTCTGGCTGTCTCTGTTCCTCCACGCAGGGTAAAAGGCTCCTCGCTGCCCTCCCCTCCCCCCCAACACCCCTGCGCTGCCCGCGTGCCCCCCTCCCCCCTCCCCTGCTCTGGCCCGTGGATGAGGACTCCTGGCTGGCAGCCAGGGGCAGATAGGGGACAGCTGACGCCTGCTGTGCCCCCCTCCCCAGCGTGGTGCACTGCCTCGTGTCTGTGGTCTTCCAAATGACCATCCTGCGGGACCTGGAGAAGCTGGCCGGCTGGCACCGCATTGCCATCATCTTTATTCTCAGTGGCATCACAGGCAACCTCGCCAGTGCCATCTTCCTCCCATACCGGGCGGAGGTAGGGACAGGGGACAGGGCGGGGAGGGCCAGCTCTGCTGCTTCCGCCCTTCCCCCCGGAGCCGCCAGAGGGCTGCGTGGCCCCCCCCGGAGCCGCCAGAGGGCTGCGCGGCCCCTCCCGGGCCAGACGGCAGATGGACAGCTAAGCTGTGGGCTTATTGGCTGACCCCCTAGTCCCCAGGGGCAGCGGACAGCCATGCCTTTGCGTCATGCTCAGGCATCACCTCCAGAAAGACCTTCCCAGCCCCTGTCCCCCGCTTTGCCCTCTTTCTCTGCTTCATTTCTCTTCGTGACCGTGACCCTTGCCTTCCTACCCGCATGTCATGTATCTGTGGGTTGAGTTGTATGAAATCTGTAATGTGCAACCATTTGTGACCCATAGAAGCAGGGACAGGTTTCCCATAGGTTCAACCCCATGCCCTCGGCTTGTTCGGTGTCTGTCCACCCCGCCGTCTGCTGCCTGGTGTAGGCCTATCCGGCTTACAGCACGGGCCGCGCACTGGGCACGCGGTCGGTCCTCGGTATCTGCAGAAAGAGTGGATGCAACGAGGCCGGCTCTGGTCCAGGAGCCTCAGTTGCGGGGTCCCCAACCCTGGGAGGAGCCCGCCCGTAGGAGGAGCCGGGTCCCGGTGCTCCCACCGCCCAGCTGCGCCCCGACTTTGCGCCGGGCCCCTGGGATTGACGCCGCTCTCCTCCCCGCCCTGCCCCAGGTGGGCCCGGCGGGTTCGCAGTTCGGCCTCCTCGCCTGCCTCTTCGTGGAGCTCTTCCAGAGCTGGCAGCTGCTGGAGCGGCCCTGGAAGGCCTTCCTCAACCTGTCGGCCGTCGTGCTGTTCCTGTTCATCTGTGGCCTCCTGCCCTGGATCGACAACATTGCCCACATCTTCGGCTTCCTCAGCGGCCTGCTGCTGGCCTTCGCCTTCCTGCCCTACATCACCTTCGGCACCAGCGACAAGTACCGCAAACGCGCCCTTATCCTAATGTCGCTGCTGGTCTTTGCTGGCCTCTTTGCCTCTCTCGTCATCTGGCTCTATGTCTACCCCATCCACTGGCCCTGGATCGAGTACCTCACCTGCCTGCCCTTCACCAGCCGCTTCTGTGAGAAGTACGAGCTGGACCAGGTGCTGCACTGACCCCTGAGGGACGGGCTGCCTGTCTGCAGAGCGCCCCAGCCTGTGCCCCGGACACCCGCCACCAGTGGGGCCCAGCTCTCCCTCCGCCATCCACGCCGACTCCACAGGGACAGTCACAGAGGCCGGGTCCTCCAGGGAGGGCGGCCCCCCTTCCTCAGTCTGGGGAACACCCTGATCACGTGCTCCTCTGCTGCTCCCCTGCTGGCAGGACCCTTGCCCCGGCTTGGGCTTCTCTCCATCCCAAGGTCCTGGGCTTTGCCCATCTCCTCCCTCAGCCCCTGCTTGTGCTGGCCCCTCCACCACACACACACACGCACCATTACCGTGCATGTGCCCTCACTGGGACGTGGCCAGGGTTCCCACCAGGTTCCCGCCCCTGCCTCACCCCTCCCTGTCCTATGAGCCCGTGTCCCTCATTCAGCAGTGGCCCGGCGAGCCCGCCCTTCATGCTCCTGGACCAGACGTGTGGGACGCATGGCAGAGGCCGAGCACGGAGACACAGCGAGGCTGGGAAGCTGAGAGCCTCTGCTTGCTGGTGGTGAAGAGAGGCCGTGCTCCCTCTGTCCTGGGCCTCCGTTGGAGTCAGTGTTCTGCCCTATGGGCTGGCTCTGAGAAGGCCAGCCCTAGCCCTCTCTGCCTCACTCCTGCCCAAGTCGGGGCAGGGGCCGGGCCGCCTCAAGGACCTGCTCCCAGGGCCCAAGGCTCAGTCAGGCCCTTTTTTACTGGTTTATATTATGGTTCTAATTTTTAAAAGTAACGCTAACTTTATATGGATGAAGACTCAAATGTAGCAAATGATAGTCTCTAGAAGTATCAGTTTGTGAGTTGAGGGGCTCTGGCAGAGTGAAAGCTGGGGCTCTGTTGATGGGGGGGGTCAGCCATGAGCTCAGGGGCAGGGCTTGGGCCCAAAGGGATGGTGGAAAACCTGTGGGGGCTTTGGTTGGACCGGAAATCAGGTTTGGGGTCCCATGGAAAGCCTCAGGGGGTCCCTTCAGAGGGCCGGGTCAGATCCTTGGACCCCAGGGGCATTGAGGGGCTGGCTGCCCTGGCAGAGACGGCGGCGGAGGGGAGGCACAGCCCTCGTCCGTTCACCATATCTCACCCGTAGCCCTCACCCCACACAGGAAGCCACCTGGGAGGTTATGCAGCACAACTCTTTTTTTTTTTTTTAAGATTTTATTTATTTATTTGACAGATCACAAGTAGGCAGAGAGGCAGGCAGAGAAAGAGGGGGAAGCAGGCTCCCCGCTGAGCAGAGAGCCCAATGCGGGGCTCGATCCCAGGACCCTGAGATCGTGACCCGAGCCAAAGGCAGAGGCTTAACCCACTGAGCCACCCAGGTGCCCCAGCACAACTCTTTATTAGAGGGAAGAGGATCCGGGGTGTCTGAGGCAAGGGGTGGGGGGCTCATGAGGGGAGCTGGGAGATAACCCCCACACTGCCCTGCGCCCAGCTCCCCCCTATTCCGGGGCCGAGGATGAGAAGGGGAATCCCTGAGGCTGGGGAGAAGGGTCTTCTGAGCACCAGGCACCTCCCACGAGGACAAGGAGGCTGTCTGCCCAGAGGGTCCCCCATTGGTTCCTGAGAATGAGGGAGTCACCGAGGCGGTCCGGGGACACCTGCTGTCCCCAGTTCCCAACCCAGCCCCATCTCCGGCACCGTTCGGCAGGCAGCCCCGGCTGGGGAGAGAAGGGGACCCTGGGGCCGGGCAGGAGCCCAGGCATGTGGCTGCAGGCACCATGGGGCGGCAGCCGCGAGGGCAGGGCACCAGGCTCAGCAGCCGCTGTTCCGACGCCGGGACGCGTGGCCTCGCATGGAGCACTGGAGCTCCGTGAAGGCGAGCGGGCCCAGGGTGATGGCGCAGGGGCCCACGGGGCTGAAGCCGAACCCCTGGTAGAAGGGCACCAGTCTGTCCTCGCACATGAGCGCGGCCCGGCTCACCGCCGGCTGGCCGCCCAGGTGCTGCAGGTAGCGCCGCATCAGTGTGGAGCCCTTGCCCTGGTGACGGCAAGCGTGGTGCACGGCCAGCACGTGCAGGTGGGCAGTGTGGCCCCCGGGCCGGTGCAGCGTCAGCGACTCCTGGGAATGAGCAGGGATGTGAGTCCGGCTCCATCTCTGCCCATCCTTGGCTCCCCAGCTACCCCCACCGGGCCAGGAGCAAGTGTCTCCCGAGTGCCTCCGAACAGGGCTCCCTTCCCACCCGTGGAGGGCCCCCAGTGGGTACCCTACGCTCCGCCCCTTGGAGGACCCTTCATGAAGGCCTTTGAGCCCCAAAGTCCTTTGACCCGGGAGAAGACCAGAGGAAGACATTCCAGGCCCTGGCCTCCTCTGCCTCCTGAGCAAGAGAAGCCAGGGCCCCGGGGTGGCAGCCTCCCTTCCAGAGGTTTCCCAGCAGTCGGGCATCCCAGCCCCAGCCTTCCCTCACCTGAGTGAGTCTCTCCTGGTCCCAAAGCGAGCCGATGATGAAGGCTATGAGGCACCCCTCCTGGAACCAGCCCAGGGACAGCTCTGGACACAGGGTCAGGAAATGCTTGACCTCATCCAGATATAAGGGGCAGGTGCCCAAGACGGAGATGAAGGCTGCAGGGGGAGGCGCAGCGGGTGACTCGGTGGCAGCAAGCATCTGCTCGGCAGCCCTGGGCGGGGTCTCCCCCCACCCCCACCCTCTCCCACAAGAAAACAGGATCCAGGGCAGTTCCCATCCCCACCTTCTTGAACACCCATGCACACACGCACACACAGAAATGCACGGCCAATCTGCTCCACTGGGGGCCCAGCCACCGAGGACAGGGGCTCCTCCCCAAAGGGCAGCCATGGCAGAGTGTGTCGGCGTTCAGACCCCCGGCGGGGACCGCTCACCTTCGCGCTCGATCTCAAACACGCCTCTGGCATGGTCCACAGTGAGGCAGCGGAACTCACTGGCGGGAAGCGTGTGGCGCCGCAGGCGGCTGGGGGCCTCTGGAGTCCCAGGCTGCAGGTTCGAGGCCTCGGGCTCCGGGGCGGGTGTGCTCTGTGTGGACATCTTGGCTGCTGGTGTCTCCTGGGGATGCCCCAACTTCAGAAGTGGCCTTCGTCACCTAAAAGGGCCCTCTGGCACCTGTTACCAGAGAGGAGTGAGGGTCACGGTGCGGTCTTCAACTCCAACAGGAGCAGGCCAGGGTGCGGGTGCACCTCACCTCTTGTCTCTTTGGTAGCTGGACCTGGGTTTGGGCGAGTCCCAGCACGGATTCTGGGAGCTGTAAATGTTGGTACCCTGTCCCCATCTTTCCCTCTCAGCCAGAAGTACCCACGGAGCAGCCCTTCCAAACCTCCGGATCCTGGCCTCATTGACCTCTGGGTACATCTAAGTCTCAGGAGGCGGTGGGAGGGGTGGCCACTGACCACGTCTAACGCAACGATGAGAGGCGTGGGTCGGTCCGTCTCACCTGCTCAGAAAGCGGCTTCCCCGTCCTTCGCCTGTGAAAGATGGAGTGGGTCCAGCTTCTTAGGCTGCTTCAGCCATCGGCCCTGGAGAAAAAGACCCTTAGTCGAAGTGGGTCCTCAAGGAGCCTTCATGTTTACTCAGAGGGCCTCAGACTGGACCACACACACATGAGGGCATCGAGAGGATGGGGGGCGTCTGGGGAGGTAGGGAGGAGCAGGCCTGGAGGGCATCTGACTGTGACCCTATGGCGCCTTGGACCTCTCTCCCATGATGGTCTTGCCCTCCCTCCTCTTTTTCTCCCTATGCCCTGAAGCCCCAAGCAGGGTAGCTCCTGTTCCTGAAGGCTGGAAGCCCGGGGTTGGGGGAGGAGTGGAAGATGGGGGGGGCCCTTACCAGGACTCTGAGCAGGGGCCCAATGTTTCCACCACAGAGCCACTCACCCTGGAGGTCGTCAGCAGTCGAGGGAGGCAGGGAAATCTGGGACTTCGGCCTGCTTGGCTGCTGAGGTGTCACTGGGGAACATGGAATGTTCTCTCCGATTTATAATCCCTGCCCCGCCTCTGTGTTACACCAGCAGGATGGAGCCTGCACGGCTGTGCCGCTGCCCGCCCCGTCCCCGCCTGCTGAGGGTCAAACATCAGAGTGACACATTGCACGCGGGGGATTACAGTGACTGATTGAGGGCCCGGAATCTGGGGGACGCACACAGGGCTAAACCTCAGGGGTTCGGCTCTAATCCCTGTTCCGGCTCTGCCTGGCGGGGCCTGGGCATTCACCCTTTGTGCTCTGGAAGCTCGGACACCACCACCTCGGAGGTCCTTCCCCCAGATCCAGACGTGAGAGTCAAGTCCTTCTGTGCGTACTAGCTGGTCACCTGTAGCAAAAACCAACCCAGACAAGCAAGAGGTCCTTCTCGACTCGCGCCCTCCTCCCGTCCCCCTGGTACTCTGCCTAGTCTCCCACACCTGCCATTACCCTGGGGTACTTAAAGAACCCCGAGGGGGTGCGGCCGCCACTTTGGAAGACCTTGCAGTACCTGCTACATTGGGGCTCACGCCCTGGGACCCGCAATCCCCACTCGAACACCGATAGAGCTAGACGCTTCCCCAACTGGGAACAGCCCAAATGACCATCAGCAGTAAGGGACTAGGGGGAACTCATCCAGCTGTGAGCGCAAAGGACCCTGAGGACACATGGCGTCGCCAAGCCCCTCGCCAGTGCAGCAGGGAAGGAAAGAAGCCCCCAGCAAGAGGGGTTCTGAGTCCCTGGAGTCTGTTTTAATCAGTGTATGGGAGGCAGCGGCTGCCCAAGGGGGGGCTTCTGGGGTGCTGGTGACATAAGATTCAGTTCTTTTTTTTTTTAAGATTTTATTTATTTATTTGAGAGACAGAGAGACCTCAAGTGGGGCGAGGGGCAGAGAGAGGGGGAGAGGCAGATTCCCCGCTGAGTGGGGAGCCCAATGCGGGGCTCGATCCCAGGACCCCGAGATCATGACCTGAGCCGAAGACAGACGCCTCACCGACTGAGCCACCCAGGCGCCCCCAACATTCAGCTCTTCAGCTGAAGGGGGAAGGTGGTGGGAACTCAGCAGGCTGCCAATTTGTGCACTTTTGTTTCCGTATGCTCTACTTGAAGTTTACCTAAATATCCCAGACATTGTTCCACCCAAATTCCCTGATTACCAATGACCTTGGCTCTGCCCCATGGCCAAGGCTGCCCCAGGGTCGTGTCAGCAGCTGGTGTGAGTTCTCCCTTGGGAGCCTTGAGCCCCAGGCGACTGCCTCCAGCTCTTCCTTCTTACCCCATCCAGGCCCTCAGACCCGCAGGAGGCCCAGGCTTCTCTGCTTTCCCTCCCGCCCACACCCCTCCCACAGCCCTGAGCCCCTCCCTGGCCAGCACCCACCCCCTCGCTCCTGCCACACGCTCTCCCTGCCCTGCCAGGGCCCGGCTTCTACACCCGCACAGCCGGGCCAACCCTGCTCTTGACCATGATTCTGGGGACGCCTCCGTGGCTCTGACACTGGGGTGACCCCAGGCCAGCCCAGACGCCCACCGCACCCACACTTCTGTCTGTGGGGTCCTCCCCTCCCAGGGCCGCTCTGCTGCCTGAGGCCCAGCAAAACCCACAGAGCTTATCACACCCCCCACCCCAACTGCTACCAGGCTGCTTCCCGTCTTTCCCCTTCCCGGAACCTACGACTGAGCTCTCAGGCTTGGCTCTGGGGGCTTGGTCAGGACCTGGGCTGGGCACCCCCGCCTCCAACCTCAAGGTCTAAGGTAAAGGCCTTCTCCGTCCTTCGCAGACCTGTGGCTCCACTGCGCCCCCTCACGGCCCGCCGGAGAAGAGCAGGTTACTGATGGCCGTGCTGGCCCTACTCTTCCCGGAAAACATCCCCAGACACGTGGAACCTCAGAAAGCAAGACAAGACAGTACTAGACCGGGGGGATCCGAACCCCCGTGGGGGGCAGGGGAGGGCGAGCGAAGGTGATCTATCTTGGTCAACTGGAATAACAGGACAAGGCGCCTGGGAGGGAAAGAGATGAGGGGCGTGTGGGGTGGACGAGCACGGAGAGAAGGACGCCCTCTACAGGGAAGTTAGGAGAACCGACCCGGGGCGCAGGGCTGACTCAGTTTGTGGAGCACGTGACTCTTCATCTTCTGGCTGCAAATTCAAATCCCGCATTGGGTGCAGAGACTGCTTAAAATTAAAAAAAAAAAATTTTTTTAAGATTTTATTTATTCATTTGACAGAGAGAGACACAGCAAAAGAGGGAACACAAGAAGGGGGAGTGGGAGAGGGAGAAGCAGGCATCGCACTGAGCAGGGAGCTCCATCCCAGGACCTTGGGATCATGACCTGAGCCGAATGCAGATGTCTAACAACCGAGCTACCCAGGCGCCCCAAAAATAAAATCTTTTTTTTTTTAAAGATTTTGTTTATTTTTTTATTTTTTTTTTTTTTAAAGATTTTATTTATTTGTTTGACAGAGAGAGATCACAAGCAGGCAGAGAGGCAGGCAGAGAGAGAGGAAGGGAAGCAGGCTCCCTGCCGAGCAGAGAGCCCGACGCGGGACTCGATCCCAGGACCCTGAGATCACGACCCGAGCAGAAGGCAGCAGCTTAACCCACTGAGCCACCCAGGCACCCAAAGATTTTGTTTATTTATTTGACAGGTAGAGATCACAAGTAGGCAGAGAGGCAGGCAGAGACAGAGAGAGGGGGAAGCAGGCTCCCTGCGGAGCAGAGAGCCCAATGTGGGGCTCAATCCCCGGACCCTGAGATCATGACCTGAGCTGAAGGCAGAGGCTTAACCCATTGAGCCACCCAGGTGCCCCTAAAATCTTTTTTTAAAAAAGATTTATTTATTTATTTTAGAGCGAGGAAAGGGCACAAGCTGGGAGAGGGGCAGCGAGAAAGGGAGACAAGCAGACTCCTGCTGAGCAGGGAGCCTGGTTTTGGCTCAGGTCATGACCCAACAACCTGAACCAAAACCAAGAGTCAGATGGTTAACCGAATGAGCCACCCAGGTGCCCCAAAAATACACTCCTAGAAAAAAAAATGTCAAACACCAAGATGGAGAGTGACTTCATGTGTTTCTAGTCCCAGCCTTGCTGAGTGATAACCTGCTAAAGCATTTCAGAATGCTAACGGGTCCTGACTCCAGAGCACCCTCCCCCAGGGGCTGTCATCAAATTCAACCGGCCAGCGGAGTAGCCTCAGGAGATGGACCTACTGAATGAGGCTGCCATATTTAGCAAATAAAAATGCAGGAAGCCCCGTTGAAATTCAAATTTTAGGTAAACAACCTTTTTTAAGATTTTATTTTTAAGGGGCAGCTGGGTGGCTCCGTAGGTTAAGCCTCTGCCTTCAGCTCAGGTCATGATCCCAGTGTCCTGGGATGGAGCCCAGCATCCAGCTCCCTGCTCGGCGGGGAGCCTGCTTCACCGCCCCCGCCCCGCCTGTCTCTCTGCCTGCTTGTGATCTCTCTCTGTCAAATAAATAAATAAAATCTTAAAAAAAAAAAGATTTTATTTTTAAGTAATCTCTGTACCCAACGTGGGGCTCAAACTCACCACCCTGAGATCAAGAGCTGCAACGTTCCGCAGACTTGTGAGCCAAACAAGTGCCCCACAAGTAATTTTTTAAGTATAAGTCTGTCCCATGTGATATTTGGGACAGACTTTTACTAAAAAATTGTTTATCCAAAATTCTGATTTCCACCTCACACTAATGCAACATTATATGTCAACCCTATTCAAATTAGAAAAGAAGTTTTTAGGGGCATCTGGCGGGCTCAGTCAGTAGAGCATGTGACTCTTGATCTCTGGGTCATGAGTTCGAGCCCCACTTTGGTGTGGAGTTTATTTTTTTTTGAAAAAGTGCACATTCTCGGAGCTGTAATTTGGTATCTTATTGGTCTTCCTTGTGGGGAAAGCGTATGCCCAGCTAGCCATGTGCACAGAGGGGGGGGGTTCAAACCTTGTACCCTTTTGCAATTGCAGTCTTTGGCAGAGCACTAACACGTAAAACAGACCAAGAGCCCCAACCTCCACCCCGGGCCGGATGTCCCATGAAGCTGGGACAATATGGGTCCCACCAGGGGCCCCTGGAGAGAAATGGACTGCCCTCAGAGGCACAGACTC